GTTTGTGCGGGGAGAAGGGTGCAACAATGAATGAATGGAATCCCAAAACTCTGTAGATGTTCATTGAAATGAAAAATAAACAACCTAAATTAAAAAAAAAAAAAAGAAACCAGATTTCTTAGCAAGCCCAGCAGGATTCAAGAAATTGGTGAATTCATCCTCAAAATCAAACCACTGCCAATAACTAGTCTGGTAACTAAAAATTGTACAGCAAATTATGCTGTCATCTTATCAACAGAGAGCAAGGGATGTGGTAGTGTCCCCAGAGAGAAGCCAGTGCCTCTGGCTTTTCAAAACATCTGTGGAATTCTACTAAAAACAGCCCTAGCAGAGAAGCATGAATGGGCATAAGGACCCCATGACAATGCTGGGAGTAGCCAGGTGAATGGGGCATCTGTGGAAGATACACAGATTTTAGCATACTTTAGACAAAGAGGACACTGGCCGTCTCACAGATCAGACACATTACATGAAAGGCAGTTGCCTACGAGTCCTATCATGAAAGAATTCTATTTGAAGCCTCAGGGATGCATAAGCCTCTAAAAGATGACTCTACTAAGTGTAAAGAAAGGCTGACTTACCAACTAAAAATAAGGATGGACCAGAAGATGCCAGCCAAGACACCTCTTCTTGTGATCTTTATGAAGATGGCTTCCATAAAGCCATGCTGGCCATAGAGCACGTGTGATAGAGCCACCGTGGACGGAGAATTTGCAGGCTGTCCTCTTCGCAGCAGTGAGCTGCTCAAAAGGATAGTGTTCACAGCAGATTGTTCAGGCCAAAGCAGTTGACTAAACTGCACTCGGTCTTTGAAAGTGTCCTGATTTATATTCATATATTTTGTTATTTTACTTTTTTGAGCAATAAAGAGAATATGTTCTTGTTATGTGCTGCCGAATCGCCTATGACTCAAAGCATCTCTTACTAAGTACAACAGCTCAGATCCCTGCTCTGTCTTCAGCCAATCTCATTGTCTCTGACACACCTACCCCCATTACCCTAGACAGTGAGTCAATCCATCTCGTCCAGGGTCTTCCCCTCCTGCGCTGTCCCTCCACCCTTCCAAGCCTGAAGTCCCTCTCCAAGGACTGGTCCATTGTGACAGCATGCCCAAGGTATGCCAGACATAGCTTCAAAATCCTTGCCTCCCAGGAGCAGCCTGGTCTCACTCTTTCAAGGACAGACCTGTTTGTTCTTCTAATAGTCCATGGTATATTCAGTACTCTTCTGTGGCACCACAACTCAAAGGCATCAGTCCTTCTTTTATCCTTAAGTCATTGTCCCAGCTCTCTGATGTGTAGCAAGTAATTATGAAGACTTTGGCCTGGGTCAGGGTCATCTTCGTCTTTAGACTGCCATCATTTCTCTTCAGTACTCTGGAGATGTCCCTGACAACATATTTTCCCAATGCAATCGCCTCACGTTTCTTTCTTCACTACTTTAGTCTTTTTACAATTACTTTTAGTAAGTTAAATTTTCAAGAACCATTTATCTTTTAACAAAAGTGTCACACTATTACTTTGAATCACCACTTTGCTGTCATTGGTGAGGATGAAGCATTTGGAAGAGAGAAAAAAGGAAATTTATAGAGCTTTGAAGAGAAAAGTGCCAAATGGAATGCTTAGAACTTTACTTTTTAATAGGAATAACTTTCTTTTTTGTATCAAATTGAATTACATATTTTAGCAAGTGAAAACTTAACAGACCACTTTTTTATTTGGAACATCGATTATTGTAAAGAATTTTACAGTATTTTATGGAAACTTCTCTGTTAAAGAATTCAAAAGTTAATTTTTGTCATCCCAAATGTCTCTTAATATTTCCATACCTGATTTTGCAAAGGCAAAGGGTAAAGTATATACCATTCAATTTTAATACTTTTTGCCAAATATTTCTACTCATAAATTCATGTAATTCTTTGAAATATGTATCATTTTTAGGGCAAATAGAGTTATTATAAGACTTTTCAGTCTAAATCATGCTGTTTATAAAAAGTTTAGAAGCAGCAATAATGAAAATACCCTTAAAGCAAAACCCCTTATAATTTTCATTATTATTTATGGAAACAGAATTTTTTATCTGGGGTAGCTTGCTTCCTCTTCATCTGCATACACCCAGTTTAAAATCACATTTATGTTCTCTTGACTATTCAAACTCTTTGTCTCCCTTCACTGAGTTCTACATCTCATTGCTTGATGTTGTTGCTGCTGTTACATGTCATCAATCTGGAACCTGATAGCTGACCCTCCATTGAGTTTTCAGAGGCACTAAATAGCATGGAGGAAGACTTCCTTTCTTTCGCTCCCAGAGCAGCTGGTGGGTTCCCACAGTGTACGTTTGTATTGGCAAGCACAACTCCTTAGACTGCACCACCAAGTGCCCTGCTTGATTATATATCATCTTAAGAGTATTAGGATGTTCCATCTACATCCACTGTAACTGCTTTCCAGGAATTCGTCTATATCTGGGAACAGGTTAGAGATAAGTTCATAAAAGTTCTTAGGATCTGAAGTTCTTCAAGCTGTGTTCTACCTCTTCATTTATTAATAAAATGATAACTACTGTGAGAGGAAGACCCTGGATGAGCTGGATTGACACTGTGGGATCGGGTGTGTCAGACACAGTGAAGTTGGCTCAGAATAGGTTCAGAGCCATTGTTCATAGGGTCTCTATGAGTTGTAGTCAGCTCGGTGGCACGTAACAACTATTTACCTAAGATTGGACTGTTTCTTTTTCCTTGTCTCTAGGTGGCATTTGTGAACTTCAGGGTTTTTTTAATGAACATTTTGTCTTTTTTAAATTTTTTTAATTTTATTCATGTGTGTGTGTGTGTGTGTGTGTGTGTGTGTGTACACCATCAAATCTGATCCGACTAGTACAGGAGGAGATTGTCCCTCCTTCTCCAGCAGAGCAGTATCTGGTGGATTCGAACCATGTGTCTCTGGGATTGCAGTACAGCTTCTTGCCACTAGGCCACCAGAGTTCCCCTGGATTTCAGTTTTTAAAAACAACTGTTACATAGATATAGCCAGAGAAGGCAAAACAGTTTCCAGAATCCTAAATGTGTATTAAGGCTAAGTTTTTTTTTTCTATAATTATATTTTATTAATTTTCATAAACATT